GGTTTAGTCCTGGTTTAGTCCTGGTTTAGACCTGGTTTAGTCCTGGTTTAGTCCTGGTTTAGTCCTGGTTTAGTCCTGTTTTAGTCCTGGTTTAGACCTGGTTTAGACCTGGTTTAGTCCTGGTTTAGTGTCCTGTTTTGTCCTGGTTTGTCCTGGTTTGTCCTAGTCCTGGTTTAGTCCTGGTTTAGTCCTGGTTTTCGACCTGGTTTAGTCCTGGTTTAGTCCTGGTTTAGTCCTGTTTTAGTCCTGGTTTAGACCTGGTTTAGTCCTGGTTTAGTCCTGGTTTAGTCCTGGTTTTAGTCCTGGTTTGATCCTGGTTTAGTCCTAGTTTTAGTCCTGGTTTTTAGTCCTGGTTTGATCCTGTTTTAGTCCTGGTTTAGTCCTGTTTTAGTCCTGGTTTAGTCCTGGTTTAGTCCTGGTTTAGTCCTGTTTTAGTCCTGTTTAGTCCTGGTTTAGTTTTAGTCCTGTTTTAGTTTTAGTCCTGGTTTAGTCCTGGTTTAGTCCTGGTTTAGTCCTGTTTTAGTCCTGTTTTAGTCCTGTTTTAGTCCTGTTTTAGTTTTAGTCCTGGTTTAGTCCTGTTTTAGTCCTGTTTTAGTCCTGGTTTTAGTCCTGGTTTAGTCCTGTTTTAGTCCTGTTTTAGTCCTAGGTTTAGTCCTGTTTTAGTCCTGGTTTAGTCCTGGTTTAGTCCTGTTTTAGTCCTCGGTTTTAGTCCTGTTTTAGTCCTGTTTTAGTCCTGTTTTAGTCCTGGTTTAGTCCTGTTTTAGTCCTGGTTTAGTCCTGGTTTAGTCCTGTTTTAGTCCTGTTTTAGTCCTGGTTTTAGTCCTGGTTTAGTCCTGGTTTAGTCCTGTTTTAGTCCTGTTTTAGTCCTGCTCTGGACAGTTTGGTTTTGGGCTCAGAAATTTGCCAAAACTAAAACACAAAGTTGCTGCATCATCACATATTTTGGGGAGTTGATTTAAACAAAAACACCGAAAATATTAAACACTGAAAGAGAAAAAGCTTTTAAAATTCCTCGGACTTTTCCTCCCAAACACGACAAAGACTCTAAAAATCCACCGATGAACTGGACACGAACGAGTCAAACTGTCGAAAAACCAAAACCCAACAAATCGACGTCATGAAATCGATTTTTAAATTTTAATTCTAGAATCAGTCTGAGTGAAACAAGTTCCTTCTGTTTTATTCATGAAAATAACTTTAGTCCTTTTTTAAATCCTGATGTAGTCCTGTTTTTTTAGCTCTGGTTTCATTCTTGTTTAGTCCTGGTTTTAGTCCTGGCCTAGCCCTGGTTTAGTCCTGGTTTAGTCCTGGTTTAGTCCTGGTTTATTACTGGTTTTACTCTTGGTTTGGTCCAGTTTTTTGTCCTGTTTTAGTCCTGTTTTAGACCTAGTTTAGACCTGGTTTTACTCCTGGTTTAGTCTGGGTTGAGTCCTGGTTTAGACCTGGTTTAGTCCTTGTTTGATCCTGGTTTTTAATCCTGGTTTAATCCTGGTTTGGTCCTGGTTTTTAGTCCTGACTTAGTCCTGGTTTATAGTCCTGGTTTTAGTCCTGGTTTAGTCCGGGTTGAGTCTTGGTTTAGTCCTGACTTAGTCCTGGTTGAGTCCTGGTTTCATCCTGTTTTAGACCTAGTTTAGACCTGCTTTTACTCCTGGTTTAGTCCTGGTTTAGTCCTGTTTTAGTCCTGGTTTTTAGTCCTGTTTTAGTCCTGTTTTAGTCCTGGTTTAGTCCTGTTTTAGTCCTGTTTTAGTCCTGGTTTAGTCCTGTTTTAGTCCTGTTTTAGTCCTGGTTTAGTCCTGTTTAGTCCTGGTTTAGTCCTGTTTTAGTCCTGTTTAGTCCTGGTTTAGTCCTGGTTTAATCCTGGTTTAGACCTGGTTTTACTCCTGGTTTAGTCCTGGTTGAGTCCTGGTTTAGACCTGGTTTGGTCCTGGTTTTTAATCCTGGTTTAATCCTGGTTTGGTCCTGGTTTTTAGTCCTGACTTAGTCCTGGTTTATAGTCCTGGTTTTAGTCCTGGTTGAGTCCTGGTTCAGTCCCGGGTTAGGCCTGGTTTAGTCCTGGTTTTGCTCCTGGTTTAGTCTGGTTTAGTCCTGATTGAGCCCTCATTGAGTCCTGTTTTAGACCTGGTTTAGTCCTGGTTTAGACCTGGTTTAGTTCTGGTTTGGTCCTGGTTTAGACCTGATTGAGCCCTCATTGAGTCCTGGTTTAGACCTGGTTTAGTTCTGTTTTAGTCCTGGTTTAGTACTGGTTTTACTCTTGGTTTTACTCCTGGGTTGGTCCAGTTTTTTGTCCTGTTTTAGTCCTGGTTTCATCCTGGTTTAGTTCTGGTTTGGTCTTGGTTTTACTCCTGGTATAGGCCAAACCAAAAAAACAAAATAGTCCTGGCCTAGCCCTGGTTAAGTCCTGGTTAAGTCCTGGTTTAGTCCTGGTTTAGCACTGTTTTTTTTGTCTTGATTTAGTCCTGGTTTCATCCTGGTTTAAACCTGTTTTAGACCTGGTTTAGACCTGGTTTAGTCCTGGTTTTTAATCCTGGTTTAGACCTGTTTTAGACCTGGTTTAGACCTGGTTTAGTCCTGGTTTTTAATCCTGGTTTTAGACCTGTTTTAGACCTGTTTTAGACCTGGTTTAGTCCTGGTTTAGTCCTGGTTTTTAATCCTGGTTTAGACCTGGTTTAGACCTGGTTTAGTCCTGGTTTTTAATCCTGGTTTAGACCTGGTTTAGACCTGGTTTAGACCTGGTTTAGTCCTGGTTTTTAATCCTGGTTTAGACCTGGTTTTAGACCTGGTTTAGTCCTGGTTTTTAATCCTGGTTTAGACCTGTTTTAGACCTGGTTTAGACCTGGTTTAGTCCTGGTTTTTAATCCTGGTTTAGACCTGTTTTAGACCTGGTTTTAGACCTGGTTTAGTCCTGGTTTTTACTCCTGGTTTCGTCAAGTTTTTGTCCAGTTTTGGTTCCGGTTTCTCCAGGACTAAAACAGAACCGAGTCCGGATCGTCTGAGTCTTTTTCACTGTTCTGTTTCCAGACACAGACACATATTTGTCGGCGTCGTCAACACAGTGAAGCGTCCGTGATTCACTCAGACTCACTGGTCCAGCTGCAGACGCTCAACTGTCCCGGTCACATGACGCACCCGGGGATGATGGGATGTGTAGTCTCACTCTGCAGTACGGCTGGAGCTCTTTAGTCTGTTCACGCTCACGTCACAAACCACAGCAATTCTAACTCATTTTGTTCCGGGGGTCGTGTCCAACCGACTTTGATCCCAAAGTGTCCGGATCAGAAAACTCATGTCATATAAACCCCAAAAATAACAATAAGTTCAAATATTTGTGCAGAGAAACACAAATCTATTACAGAAATCTTTTTTAATTGATGAACTCTTTCTTTTACAAAATATTATAATATTATGAACAACCTGAAACTTTAAGAAAAATACAATTTCAACACAAAGTTTTAACATGAACTTGTCTGTAAACAGGAATAAGTCCATTTTTGTTGTAAAATCCTGCACTCGGCTCCACTTTTCTCATGTTGGACATTTTTCTGATGAGGGTGTCACGGTCAACAGTCAAAACGATCGTCCTTTAAGAGCGTTTGGAAAGAGACAAGTCTTCATTTGTGCTGCTCTGGTGGGAGGGGCCACGTACAGAGACGCTGGAGACGCTGCTGTGATAAACACCACAGAAAATTAACAAGATTTTAATAGAAAATATCATTAAATATTTTAGTAGGAAATCAGCCGAGGGCCAGATTAAAAGTCTTGGAGGGCCGGATCTGGCCCCCGGGCCGTATGTTTGACACCTGTGGTTTAGACTCTCTACATTCTGTTCATTTAATCCAATTTACAGACAGATAAATGTCCTAATATGTGGCTCCGCATCAGTATTTATCTGCGGAGTCATTTGTCTGTGTGTGTCCGTACTGTCCCTGAACACACCACAGAGTCACGTCACTTCACTCACGTGTGTTTGTTTACACTCAGACACTGAGATTATTAGTTCAGACAATGATTGAGCAGCAACACTGAGATTATTTTCATTTGTTATTAGCGATTAGCTGCTGTAGCTCCCGACACGTTTTCTATCTATTGTGTTTGTTATTTGTTACTGCATTGATGTAAATGAGCTGTGAAAGACGTGTGAATGATGCATTTAAGTTTTTTAGTTAGCTAGTTAGCGAGTTACGGTTGGCTCTTAGATGCTCTTTGGGAGAAACTTTTCTGCGTGTGCATTAGGATAAAAAAAAAAAAAAGTGCATATTTGTCTGTAGTTCAGCATAAAATGAATAAAGCAGGACTAATCTTGGGCTGGAGTGAAGGAGAGACCGAGTCCCGACACTCAGTCCTGGTTCAGTTCTGGTTTAGTCCTGTTTTACTCATGGTTTAAATCTGTTTTAGTCCTGGTTTAGTCCTTTTTCAGTCCTGGTTCAGTTCTGGTTTAGTCCTGCTTGCAACAAAACAATCTCAAGAGTCGCTTGGGAGCCGAAAGAGCCAGCTGCTTTAGTGAGCCGAGCCAAAAGAGCCGGTTCTCTAAAAAAAAAACTGGAACAACCATCACTAGTGTCTAGAATGTGATGCAAAAATGCCATTAGTCCAACCTACTGTCTGTAAATATGATGTAAAGAGTCAGAAGAACAATAAATGTTGCCTAAATAAACCCAATTTAAAATCCACCAGAGCCAAACCTAAGTTTTTTAAACAATTCAACATTTACAGTGAATTTTTACATCGCTAAATATATCGGCAGCTCCAACTCCCGTTATATCGGTTTCATATCGGCCACAACAAAAATCCATATCGGTCGGGCTCTAATTCTAACAACAACTAGCATGCTAACTGTGCACTTTCTGTTTCTCCGGCAACAAAACCCATCACAATTAGACGCAAACATGACAGGACACAGTGGATTTACGTCGTCCTGAATAATCCCGGTTATTGACGTCCCTGTCGGTCACGTGACGCAGTGGGGGGGCAGCAGAGGGGGATTGTGGGACGTGTAGTCTCACCCTGCAGGTCCTCGCCGATGCCCAGGGCCAGTCCATCTTTGGTCCACTGAACGATGCCCGAGTAGTTGAAGACGACGCAGGAGAGCAGCACCCTCTGGCCCCGCACCACCGACTGGTCCGCCGGCTCCTGGGAGAACCTCGCTGTCCACACTGACAACACACACAAAAAATAAACGTTAGACGCTTCGGTAAACGCGACGGCAACAACGGTGCGTCCGGATTTCACTCCTGACACCGTGAAGAAAACCGTATTTACCATATTTTTTGTGCTATAAGTCGCACTTTTTTTTACGTGTTTTGGGTTTTTCCTGCAGCTTAAACTCTGGTGCGACGGAACAAAAGAGAAAATCAAGTCGTGAAATCTGCAGCTGAAAACGGAAATCGAGCAGCAGAAAGAAAGTTTGGAGCGAGAGAGAAACTTGTGACACTTGTGAAACTTTCCTGAAGTCACTGGACGGACGGACAAAGTCTGGACTTCAGCGACAACGAAACATCCTGTCGGGATTCAGAAAGACCCCAATAATTCTGGAAATACAACCAGGTCTAGATCCCGTCTGAACCAAGGTCTGAACAAGGTCTAACTGAGGTCTAAAAAGGTCTAACCAAGGTCTAACCAAGGTCTAAACTAGGTCTAAACCAGGTCTAACCAAGGTCTAACTCAAGGTCTAACCAAGGTCTAACCAAGGTCTAACCAAGGTCTAAACCAAGGTCTAACCGAGGTCTAAATAAGGTCTAAACCAGGTCTAACCAAGGTCTAACTCAAGGTCTAACCAAGGTCTAACCAGGTCTAACCAAGGTCTAACCGAGGTCTAAATAAGGTCTAAACCAGGTCTAACCAAGGTCTAACTCAAGGTCTAACCAAGGTCTGAACAAGGTGTAACCGAGGTCTAAATAAGGTCTAAACAAGGTCTAAACCAGGTCTAACCAAGGTCTAACTCAAGGTCTAAACTAGGTCTAAACCAGGTCTAAACTAGGTCTAAACTAGGTCTAACCAAGGTCTAAACCAAGACCTAAACCAGGTCTAAACTAGGCCTAAACTAGGTCTAAACAAGGTCTAAACCAAGGTCTAAACCAGGTCTAAACTAGGTCTAAACCAGGTCTAAACTAGGTCTAACCAGGTCTAAACTAGGTCTAAACTAGGTCTGAACAAGGTCTAAACAAGGTCTGAACCAAGGTCTAAACCAGGTCTAAACCAGGTCTAAACCAGGTCTAAACCAGGTCTAAACTAGGTCTAAACCAAGGTCTAAGGTCTAAACCAAGGTCTAAACCAGGTCTAAACTAGGTCTGAACAAGGTCTAAACTAGGTCTAAACTAGGTCTAAACAAGGTCTAAACCAGGTCTAAACCAGGTCTAAACTAGGTCTGAACAAGGTCTAAACTAGGTCTAAACCAGGTCTAAACTAGGTCTAAACCAGGTCTAAACTAGGTCTAAACCAGGTCTAAACTAGGTCTGAACCAAGGTCTAAACCAGGTCTAAACTAGGTCTAAACTAGATCTAAACCAGGTCTAAACTAGGTCTGAACAAGGTCTAAACTAGGTCTAACTGAGGTCTAAACCAGGTCTAACCAAAATCAGAATCAGGACCTGGATTAAACCAAGTCGAAGCCAGATCTAAACTAGATCTAACCAAGATCTAATCCAGGTCTAAACCAGGTCTAAACCAGGTCTAAACCAGGTCTAAACGAGGTCTAAACCAGGTCTAAACCGAGGTCCTTCAGTGACACCAAAACCATCCTGTCGGGATTCAGAAAGGCCCAGATCTTTCTAACTGGACCTGACGCTGAGTCTGATGAAATGTCCGTTTCTTGTCTCTGATTTTATAAAATAAATTTCCCCCAAAAATGTGACTTATCGTCCAGTCCGATTTATATATGTTTTTTTTTTCTTCTTCATTACTCCGACTTATACTCCGGAATGACGTAAAGTCCAAAAAATAAGTTTTTTCCTCAGTTCCTTCCTCCCGTCTGGTGTAAACGCTCCAGGTCAGAGTGAGAGGCTCAGTCTTACAAACACTTTTTCACTTTGAGGATGTTTTAGGAGCTTTGAGGATTTCAATTCAATCCACTTTAGCCCATTTCATAAACAAAACAGTTTCCAAAGTGCTGCACAATCCAAATACAAACATATCCAAGCTCGCTTTTTCTCTGACAAAATTTCAAAACTTTTCCATGCCTTTTTCATGACCTAAAGTGAATTTTCCATGACTTTACAGCACCTACATGTGAAGAACTGATCAGACTTTTATGAAATGTGAACTGTTTCCACTCACTTTCTGGTTTGGGATCATAGTTTTGAACATTTAAAATCCTGTCGGTGCTTTTATTGTCGTCTCTGTTAAACAAAAGGTTCAGACATTCACAAATAATCAGAACAGATGAGAACTGAACAGAAGGTGTGTTGCAGTTGTGTGAAAGCGATACTAAAATTCCATGTCTTTTCCAGGTCTGGAAAATGGCATTTTTAATTTCCATGATTTCCATGACTGTGGGAACCCTGATTATCCAATAAAAATATAAATAAAGCTCAATTTAAATCTCCACTTGTCCTCATCAAGACAATAAAACGAGTGAAATCAAATAAGAGCAAGAACAACAAAAAAGAAGTAAGTAAAAAGTAAAAGTACAAAATAAAAAGTAATAAGTATAAAAAAATAAAATAAAATAAAAGACACAGAAAACCACAGAACTCACACAGCGTAGAAAGATGAAATTTAAACATTTTTAAAAAGTTTATGTTGTTAAAAATGCAATTCAGCATCACATTTATCAACTGTAAAGTGAAAAGTGTTTTATAAAAACATTTATATTTTTAGGGGAAGCATCGAGTCTTCTCAAGCCACAGGCCTCAAGTCCCGAATCCTTGACCTTCAAGTCCAAGTCGAGTCCCAAGTCTTTGTCCATTTTATCAAGTCTCAAGTTTGACTTGAGTCTAAAGTCTTTGTCCATTTGATCAAGTCTCAAGTTTGACTCGAGTCCAAGTCGAGTCTCAAGTCTTTGTCCATTTTATCAAGTCTCAAATTTGACTCGAGTCCCAAGTCTTAGTCCATTTTATCAAGTCTCAAGTTTGACTCGAGTCCCAAGTCTTAGTCAGTTTTATCAAGTCTCAAGTTTGACTCGAGTCCAAGTCGAGTCCCAAGTCTTAGTCAGTTTTATCAAGTCTCAAGTTTGACTCAAGTCCAAGTCAAGTCCCAAGTCTTTGTCCATTTAATCAAGTCTCAAGTTTGACTCGAGTCCAAGTCAAGTCCCAAGTCTTTGTCCATTTTATCAAGTCTCAAGTTTGACTCAAGTCCAAGTCGAGTCTCAAGTCTTAGTCCATTTTATGAAGTCTCAAGTTTGACTCGAGTCCAAGTCGAGTCCCAAGTCTTTGTCCATTTTATCAAGTCTCAAGTTTGACTCGAGTCCAAGTCGAGTCTCAAGTCTTTGTCCATTTTATCAAGTCTCAAGTTTGACTCGAGTCCAAGTCGAGTCCCAAGTCTTAGTCCATTTTATCAAGTCTCAAGTTTGACTCGAGTCCAAGTCGAGTCTCAAGTCTTTGTCCATTTTATCAAGTCTCAAGTTTGACTCAAGTCCAAGTCGAGTCTCAAGTCTTTAGTCCATTTTATCAAGTCTCAAGTTTGACTCGAGTCCAAGTCGAGTCCCAAGTCTTAGTCCATTTTATCAAGTCTCAAGTTTGACTCGAGTCCAAGTCGAGTCTCAAGTCTTTGTCCATTTTATCAAGTCTCAAGTTTGACTCAAGTCCAAGTCGAGTCTCAAGTCTTAGTCAGTTTTATCAAGTCTCAAGTTTGACTCAAGTCCAAGTCGAGTCCCAAGTCTTTGTCCATTTTATCAAGTCTCAAGTTTGACTCAAGTCCCGTTCGTAGAGGAAGTGATTTTTGTACGTTTTAAGAGGGTTTTGAGTTTTGTTTTGTGTTTTTAGGACCATTTAAGCTTTAAGTTGAGTGAAATCTCGTGAGTGTCTTGATCCGTGGAGCCACAGCAGCGTCTCCGTCTGTCACACAAACACACACTATTATTAGACGTGCGGTTTTAGGCTTAATTACTTTAAAGGAGCATTCCCTGGTCACGGCCCAACTCCTCCTCCGCCGCCGCCGCCCGCCGCCCGCCGCCCGCCGCCCGCCTGTCCCCTCGGATCACTCTGGGCCAACAAGCCGGACGCTCGAAGAAAAGAGGAGAAGAAGACGAAAAGAAGAGACGAAGATGTCAAAACGAGGGAAAATCAGAAGACGCCGCCGTTACTGCTGACTCAAGAGGAAAACGCAGAGATCAGCCATAGGGTTTAAAGTCCTCGTGACACAGAGAGAGAAAAGTCTTTAAGAGAAACTAAAAATCTTGCCTCGTTTTTGTCTTAAGGGGCTCGTGATACTCTACTTTTTATAACTTCTAATGTCATTTTGTTTAGTGCTGTCATGCGATTAAAAAAATTGAGAGATTAATTAATTATGATCTGTAATTAATTAATCTAATTAATCTCATTTTAATCTCACCTAAAAATTGCTGAGAAAAGCTTCAATTTGAGGTATTTTCATTTAAATTCATTATTACATTATTGTGGCAGATCAAAAGACTGATATAGATTTAAAAAAAGTGACTTTATAAAGTCATTTATTGTTTAACAAATGTCTCCAAATTGGCTGTTGAGCCCAAGTCTCCATGAATAAGAAACTGTTTGCTGTAAAGTAGCAAAGACGAGGAAATCTGAACATAATAACTTTTGTTTACTTAAAGACAATAAAAAGTCCAGTCTTTCCTTAACCAGATTAAAAATATTATTGATAGAGAAATGCTTTATATATGAGATCACTGGTTTTAGTCCTGGTTTAGACCTGGTTTAGACCTGCTTTAGTCCTACTTTAGTCTTAATTTAGTCCTAGTTTAGTCCTGGAATGGATTAATCCTGGTTTTAGTTCTGGTTTTAGTTCTGGTTTTAGTCCTGGTTTAGTCCTGGTTTAGACCTGGTTTAGTCCTGGTTTAGTCCTGGACTGGATTAGTCCTGGTTTTAGTCTTGGTGTTAGTTCTGGTTTAGAGGTTCACAGGAGGAAGTGTGTTTTCTCGTACGCGAGAAAACACGATCCACACGCGGCTCACGGGAGCAGGTCAGTGTCCACGCAGTAACTACGGAAGGAAACGTGGTCCACGTGTTCTCAGGTTAATG